GCAGGCAACACCAGGAATTTACCGGCCCGCCAGACAACAAAGTTAATGGCCGCACGACGCTCACAGTTCAATATGGAGCCGGAATTTCCGCCGGAACTTCCGGGAAAAAAAAAAAACGGCGGCGCCCAGCTTCCGACAGAGACAAATGTGGCGCGTGGACTGGGTGGTATACAGGAAGATACGAACGAAACGAACGAAATGGAGAGAGGAGAGAGAGAGAGGAGGAGAGAGAGAGAGGGAGGAGAGGAGAGAGAGAGGAGAGAGAGAGAGAGAGAGAGAGAGAGAGAGAGAGAGAGAGAGAGAGAGAGAGAGAGAGAGAGAGAGAGAGAGAGAGAGAGAGAGAGAGAGAGAGAGAGAGAGAGAGAGAGAGAGAATTTCTTTTATCGATTCGATATATACCACAAATCAATTATTATTTCTGTAGTGAATGGGTAAAACCTGAAGTAAGAGTGTCGATGTCGATTGTCGATTGCTGTAGATGTAGGTCGCATTGCATGCCGGTTGAACAAACGATTATTTCACGATGGATGTGTCGAAAGCACTGCGACGATAACCAGCAATAATCAGCTACTGTGGCAAGAAAATGTAACGAGCATCTTTTGCGCATTCTCGGCAGCATTGTATTCCTTCTGATCTGCAATTATTAGCGCATTTGCTTGCTTGTCCATCCATCATCGTCCGTATCACCTCCAGACATTCTGTCCAGACGCGAAATTAATCGGCATCATCAGGAAATAAAAAACTCATCAGGGCCAGCGACCGGTCAGTGATTGATGTAGGAGCGTATCTCGTGTATTTGCGGGATGCCTATACCGCTGGATATGTATCCCGCTATTGGCGCTAATAGAGACCCATCGGCGATGAATACGCATTAATACTGTCCGTCTGAGGTTAGCGGAGCATGAAGAAGTTACAAGGACACATCAACCATCTTCAGGGATAAGGGCGACCAATCACCTGCCGTCTCTGGTCTGCAGGGCCTTGTGCTTTACTGTGGTCCCAACCGTCCATCTTTGTTTGGGTTGTACAATGCTACTAAATTTTAGCATTTACTCGAAACTGCTCTCCCAACCAATCCTGTACAGTCCAAAGGACCTGATACTTCAGAGTGTTCCAAAACCATATTTGGCCTACAGGGCTATCGCTTTTTTATTCACCTCTCATTTATGGTCCGCAGGAGGACTTGGTGCTACACTGCGTTCTCAGCCACCCGTTTCTCAGGGCTTCTGTGCGCCTTCAATGCCTGCTCCCATGCTGTGTTCTCCACTACCTACTCAGGGTCCACTGGAGCTACATATAGTGTTACTCTGAGTAGTCCACAAGACCCGGCGCTACACCGGGCTCGCCCTCATCCGCTTCTGGTCCCCAGGTCTGGTGCGCCTCCAGGACCTGGTGCGCGCCCCGCCCGAGCTCGATATGGAGGTCTACATCAGACAGGCTCTGCCAGAGGAGTACCGGGACGTCCTCAGAGAGATCAAGAACAAGGACATCCGGAACATTGTGGTCGACACAAAACCAGAGAACATTCAGCTCTTCTTGCGCTCGGTGAGTAGCGAAGAGTCATCAAAATACAATCAAGGCCAAAAGCTATGTTATTGTTCAAGAGCATCGAAATGCGGGTAAGAAACAAAAACATTACTAGGGGAACAACAGGGTTCAAATGGACGTTCGCAGCATGCTTATCTTCCCTAAGTGTACCCTAAAGACCTAATGACAAGCTAATTTTGCTATCACTTACCTCCTTCCCCAACTCCTCCTAATTACTTTCCTGCTTGGCGTGGCATCTGGGATCAAAGCTCTGCTAGTCGATCGTTCTCCCCAGCCCCGGTCCCGCTGCTCCGCGCCCGCCGTCGCTCGATGCGTCGGCTCCGTCGCGCTCGACGCCGCTCGCTGGCACGCGTCCATCGCCTCATCGACGCGCCTCTCGGGGCCACTTGGTGACTTGTCGACTATTGTGACGCTCCGATGCACCGGCGCGGCGCGCGAGCATCGACGGCGACAGCGGGGCGCGGTGGCGGCGGTGGCGGCGCAGACTCGACGCGGCTCTGCCGGTCGGTCGCTGGATCGAGTCCGTGTTTTGACGGCCGTTCCGGACTGCGGAATGGATTTATGTGCGGCCGGCGAAAGAGGATTCGCTGATAAAGAAAATCGACACGCGCGAAACACACATTTGTTGTTCTGTCTGTTTGGATAGAGCTGCAGTCGCCGGGTTCAGTTGTGGAGAGATGTGATAAAAGCGAAAAAAAAACTTTGTGAGTTATTCTCCAAAGAAGTGTCACTTTCAATGCATGAAAATTTTAATAAGTAAAATAATTTTGTTTTTTTTGTGTTTTTAATGCTCAAAAAGGCACTGAGTACGTACCTACTGTAATTTGTGAAGAAGCACCTGATGCCGTGTGAATTTGCATGACCATCACCCTCATGTAAGGACATGCATAAATACCGAACACAACAACAAAAAGAGTGATATTGCGGTATGACGTCACTAAGAGAGGCTCAATAAACACGTTTGCAACTAATTTAAAAAGTGAAAAATGGAATCTGTATATCAAAACTTCTTAGGCTGTCAGTTCGGGTCCTGGTCCACTGTCTAATAAAGAATTTCAGACAAGACATGGGCATTCGAATTGGTGCTCTCAGTGTGTTTACACGGCTGGACACCCCACTCGCCGACTTAATCTGGTTTGAAATTGACCGTTACCGTCGGCCATCCCAGTTGGGAGCCTCGCCAGCGAGCCTCGGAACACCGCATGTTGAATACCCCAACTAAGCTGTTGTAGCGGAAAAGCCACTAGCTGTCCGAGGGACGATACGTGATATCCAACTGGGGAAGTGTTTTTCATATCACCCATCGTATTCTATTTTTTTCTGTTGCAGTTGCTGCAGCTTCAAATGAACGACGATCGCCATCACTATCTGTTCACCTCATTTGTGAGTATCTCTGCAGTGCGTTCTGTGCGATATGCTCCAAAGCATGTAGCAGAGTGTGGTTTGTCCATAGACACGTTTATTTACACACAGACGCAAAAAAGTGCATTAATGCGCACTTGACAGCTATACATGTGCTCTTATAGTTAAAACACGTATACATCTACCTCCTATCGATGTATCAATGGCATTGTTTGTAAAACGCTGATTGTAGTGATTGAATGGGACGAGTTTGCATTATATTTCCCCGAAAATTGTGTGAAAGAGCTCTGGTTTTGGCCAATTTCCACCACATCGCTATCAGGGAAGTCGAGGAGGCCATTTCTATGCAAATTGTCTCATGCTGATGTAAACGACACTCACCCTGATCTCACCGACTTGGAATAGCATGAAAATGGGAGAGAACTCCGGTCGTTACTTCCAGCGAGCGCTGAGGTTCATAAAAAGACGCTCATTTTGCGAGATAAGCATTTTTTTAACCAGCGCTAACCCGATTACCACAAAGTGTTTCTTTTTTACGAGGATCGTTAGACGCGCTTGAAGCGGTAACCTTGTTACTTAGCTGCCAAGTTTCTCCTCTGAAGGTGTTTATATAAGAAGCAGCATGTTGAAAGTGGCTTAAAGATGGCAGTGATTCGAGCAGTTGCACTTGTGCCGTCGAGTAGTTTGCATTGTTTAAAGTTTGCTTAATGTTGACTAGCATTGGCATAGATGAAGAGAAATTTTTATTCTTAAATTTAATGAATATTTGATTTCAAACATCGCAGAGAAGTGGTAAGCCCCATTTAAACTAAAGGATCATGATGTCCATTAGTATGTTACAAGTCCTTTACGTTAATCATTATTTGGTTGCTGAGATCCGTGTTTGTGTTTTCTAAATCGTTTCACTATTTTCAATAAGGTAAACAAAGTTCCATTCCAAGGTTTCTATTTCTTCTGACCTCAATTCTTATCACTCTCCCCAATCCATTGCACAAAATTCATCAAATGTTTGACCGCACGCGCAGTCATTTAAACGGCACGTCTGTAATCCGCAACATCTTCCCCCCGTGGGATGCGAATTCCACCATACTGGTGATCTAACAAGAGCTCTCCAAACGGTGCAGGCGCTGAATGGGTCGCACGACCGTCCCTTTCGTGGTTCGTACAGTTGCAGCTCGTGCTCTTCCATCTCGGCCTGGATACAGCCTTTCGATTACCCCGGTTGTCCAAAGTGCACGTGACACGCGTGGGTTGTCTTCAATGAGGACGAGATCTCTCACGTTGGGTTCTCTGACAGCTGAGGCGGTTCTCGTGGGCGTTCGCAGCTCGCGGAGGTACTCTCGCTTCCAGCGGGCCCAGAGATGCTGGAGAACTCGAAGGTGATGTTCTCGCAAGGATCTCAGGTTCTGACCACTGTTCTGCGGGATAGAGACCTCATCAACAGTGTGGCACGATCTCGCGTGGAGAAAATCGTTTGGTGAGAGAGGCTGTACATCATCTGGATCATCAGTGAGCGCTGACAGCGGCCTGGCGTTGATGGCGCCTTCGATCTTACACAACACTGTATTTAGCTCCTGCCATGTGAGGAGGCTCCTTCTCAGGGTTCTACGCAAGGCTTCCTTTGTCAGGCGTATGAGTCTCTCCCAGAAGCCGCCCCACCATGGCGCCCTTGGCACGCTGAACCTCCATACTACACCTCTCGGTGCCAGTATGTTTGCTGCGCTCCGGAAGTTCAGGCCGTTGTCACTGAAGATGATTTGAGGCGTCCCACGGCGTGAGCAGAATCTCTCGAATGCTCCCATGAAATCTTCAGCTGAGAGCGTCTCTACGAGCTCCAGATGGATGGCTCGAATCACTGCACATGTGAATAGCACAATCCACATTTTTCGGGCCTCTGATCCTCTTGCAGCCTTTCTGTAGACGGGCCCAGCCATGTCAACGCCCACAGCGGAGAACGGAGGTCTTTGGCGCACTCTTTCCTTTGGCAGTGGAGCTATTTCTTGAGTGAAGGGTTCTGTATTGAACAGCTTGCAGTTTGGGCAGTCTCGAATTGTTCTTCCAACTACTTGTCGTCCGCGAGGGATCCAGAAGCGCTTTCTTAGCTGGTGCAGCGTTTGCTGCACTCCTCCATGACTGGTTTGTTGGTGATGGTCGAGAATAAGTAGCCGTACGTACGCGTGTCCACCAGGAAGAATTATCGGATGATTTTCGTCACAGCTGAGTTCCGATTCCTGCAGCCTGCCCCTGACCTTTAGGAGACCATCCTCCTCAAAAGGGTTTAAGCCGTGTATCGGCGACTGTTTCATGATCTCGCTTCCTGAACGCAGTTGCTGGAGCTCATCCGGGTAGGCGTCCTGTTGTAGTTCTCTAAGCCAAATTCTTTCGGCTTCGTGAATCTCCTCGGCCACTAGATGTTCCGCTCCCGTGACTCTTCCTCTGGTCACAGCGATCCATCTCAACACCCAGGCAGTGACTCGGAGCAGTTTTTTCAAGGAGCTGTAGCGGCTGATGTCAATAGCGTTTGTAGCCGCGATTCTGTCTGCAGTGTTGCTTGTGTTTGAGATCAAAACTGGCGTGTTCATTGTCTTCTTTTCTTCTTCTCTGCACGCTGCTGGTTCACCAGTTGGCTGTTGTGCCGGCCACTCAGGCGGGGGCAACTGCAGCCATGCCGGGCCCTGTTGCCACAGATCTCCCTGCATCTTCCTAGCAGAGGCCCCTCTTGACGGCAGGTCGGCGGGATTGCTGCATCCAGGACAGTGTCGCCAGTGTTCCGGAGCGAATCTCTGCTGGATTTCGGTGACACGGTTGGATACAAACGCTCCCCATCGTCCTGGGTCGCTTCGAATCCAGGCGAGCGCCACAGCTGAGTCTGTCCATATGTACACGGATGTCGGTTGGACGATGAGAGATGTTAGCACATACTCGGTGAGTCTCGCGCCGATGACGGCAGCCATCAGTTCCAGTCGCGCCAGACACATGCGTTTTGTTGGCGCCAGTCTCGTCTTCGCCATCACCAGTCGATTCTGGCGGGAAGCCGCGCTGTTTGGCCGTATGTAGACGGCGGCTGCGTAAGCCTCCTGACTTGCATCACAAAATGTGTGAATTTCGAAAGACTCCACGCTGTCATCTGCATATGGTCTCGGAATACCGATCGTTCCGAGATCACTTAGATCTTGGATCCATGCCAGCCAAAGGTGACGGGATTCTTCACTCATCAGGTCGTCCCAGTCGCTCCCCTCCGTCCAGAGTCGTTTTAGGAGCATCTTAGCCCTGACAGTAAATGGGGCTAATAGACCCAGGGGATCAAAGATGCGAGCTGAAACACGCAGAACGTTCCGTTTCGTGGCTGGGAGATCGGTTGCGAGGGCCAGCACAGTCGAGGGATCAAATTTGAAGCTGTCTTCTGCTGGAGACCACAAAACCCCGAGCACCTTCTTTTCTGATCTCTCGCTATCATCGATCCGAACCGCGCTGTAGGTGTTTTCCTCAACTGCTGTTAGTCGCTGGTTGCTCGCCCACTTTCTCATATTCATCCTTGCTTCTGCGAAGATCTGTTTCGTTTCTTGAATGAAGGTGTTCGCTTCTTCTTCTGTCTTGAGACTCGTCAGAAGATCATCACAGTACAGGTCAGTAGTGAGTCTTCGAACTGACAGAGCGTGGCTGTCCGTGTATTGCATGAGGTGCCTTCGGATCGTGGCCTGTAGAAGGAACGGCGAGGCGCTGACTCCAAAGGCAACCCTCTTCATCCTGAACACGGTTGGCTCCACTTCTGGGCTTTCTCGCCAAAGGAATCTTGTGACGTCACGATCTTCTGGATGGAGGCTTAGTTGTAGAAAAGCCTTTTCGATGTCTGCTGTGACGGCAACACGATTCAGGCGGAATCTGATCAGAATTCCCGCAAAGTCGGCGATGAGGTTTGGTCCGGGTAGCACAAAGTCATTCAGCGACTTTGGATGTCCAGCAGAAGCGTCGAATACTACACGCATCTTATCGCTCTTATGCACTGCATGGTGAGAAAGAACATGGATTGGTCCATCTGGAATCACTGGAGCCCGCTCCGCATAGCCATCTTCTAAGTACTGAAGCAGAGCCCTCTCATACTCCGCTTTCTGATGCTCTCGCTTCAGGCCCTTTTCACAACGTTCCAGACGGAGCCTGGCGATCTGCTCGTTTTCAGGTAAGGAATTAAAGTTTTCCTTCTTGGGCCATCGCACTTCGTACCTGCCATCTGGGAGCCTCTTGCATGTCTCTTCGAAATGCATCATCGCAGCGTCCTCCATTGTCTGTTTTTCTTCACGGTCACTTGCATACGTGGGATCTTCTATGCCAATACTCTCCAGGTCCCACAGTTGCTGCAAGTCGTCTTTCGTTTCCCTTGTCCGAATGAGTAGTGCGTGTTTCTCGGTTTCTCCAGCCGTGTGGAGACGTCCACCTAAAATCCAGCCAAACACTGATTCCATAGCGATGGGACCGGAATGACTGAATCGACTGCGCCCTGTCATCACATCCTGGTACAAGTCCATTCCGAGTAAAATGTCAATTGATTCGTTGTCCTTCCACATTGCCGGCGGATCTGCCAAGACCAGATCTTTCAACTGATCCAGATCTTCCTCGGACACGGTCAGGCCTGTGTTCATAGCGCCACAAATTGTGTCGATCTCCGCCATGTCCATCCTCAGTCCGCTTGATATTTCGTCTCCGACGCGCTTCAGCGTGATTGAGACTCTCTTCAGAGCCTTGTGACGTTTTTCATCACCACCAAAAGTCATGATGTTGGTGTCCTGTTCACCCGTCTCCTCACATCCAAGCCGGGCGGCCAGTCGCTTGGTGACGAAAGACTGGTTCGAGCCGGTGTCAATTAGCATTTTGACACGCTCCTCACCCTTTGGGCCCATGGCTACAGCACGCGCTGTTTGTAACACCACGGCGGAGCCATTTTGTACCTGAGATCGTGCTGCCAGGATTGGAGTGGTTTTCTCTGATCCATTTGATCTGTTTTCAAGACACAACAGCAGGTGGTGTTTGCGCTTACAAATGGCACAGCACTTCTGGCTCTCACAGGTACTTGCGATGTGCTGCGGTCCTAAGCATAGGAAACAGCTACCCGAAGCCAATAGACGCCTACGTCGCTCTTCGGTAGACAGCTTGACCGCTTCATGGCACGCACTGCTCTCATGTTGCTCATCGCAAAATGCGCACCTTTGTTGTCGGTCGTTAGAACGAACGTGCAACGCTGAGGCGGACCTGATAACACTGGACCGTCCAGTGTCCCGTGTCAGGCGCATTTTCGCGTCGTTAGTCTGGAGCTTCCGGCAGATGTCATGTAATGTTTGATTTCTTGCCTCCAAATATTGTGTGGCGGTTTCAGAAACTTCTTCCAAATTTTGCAGATCTCTCTCCTTCAGGAACAGGCGAAGCTCTGTAGCGCAGGTATTCATGAATTGTTCATGAATGATAAGATCCTTCAGTCCTTTCCGTGTATCATCTACCTCTCCGAGCTCTATCCACCTGTTCAAGTAAGATTGGAGTCTAGCCACAAATTGAGCTGGTGTCTCACCGGGTTCCGGTCGTGACTCTCGAAGCTTTTTCCTATAGCCTTCTGCGGTCAGGCCGTAGCCTCGCAGTAAAGCTTCTTTAATCTGTTGATAGTCTGAAGACTGATCAGCGTCGAGTCGGAAGTAGATGTCCAAGGCCTTGCCTGTCAGCAGTGCACTCAAGGACACTGACCAGTGCTCCTCAGGCCACCCGGCCGCTCTCGCAAATCTTTCGAACCTCAAGAGATAGCTGTCAATATCATCCCGTCCCTCCACAAACGGGGGCAGCTTCGGTGTCTTCACTGCACTGACAGCATCTGTTGTTGAGCCTTGCATTTCTGATTGGTATTTTAGTTTTTCAAGTTCGTGTTTCCTTTCCTTTTCTCGTTCTTGGATTTCTCTTTCGTGTTCTTTTATTTCCCTTTCACGGTCTTCTTTTTCTTTTTCGGCTTTCCTCTCCCGTTCCAGCCTTCTGTCTTCTCTTTCAGTGTCCTTGTCGAATCTATCAGCTGCAAATCGGAGAGCTTCTTCCCCCTGCAGCCCATATCTAGACGCTAATTCGAGGTACTTTTCCATCTTGTCCTGTCACGGTCACCACTATGTTACAAGTCCTTTACGTTAATCATTATTTGGTTGCTGAGATCCGTGTTTGTGTTTTCTAAATCGTTTCACTATTTTTAATAAGGTAAACAAAGTTCCATTCCAAGGTTTCTATTTCTTCTGACCTCAATTCTTATCACTCTCCCCAATCCATTGCACAAAATTCATCAAACGTTTGACCGCACGCGCAGTCATTTAAACGGCACGTCTGTAATCCGCAACAAGTATACATATTACATAACCTTTTAAACTTGATCTAGCACGAAGAACGAGCCTTTACCCGATGTACTTCACTCCACGGTGCTATGCCTGTGCGCTTAGAATCTCATTGTTCATCGCTAATCATTAATCAATCAAATCATAACTAATCATAATAAAAAGTTCAAGGCATCTAATGATAACAAGAAATCAGCATTCATATGCTGCAGGGCACGAAACACCAACTGTTGCTCATAGCTGTTGAATCGCTAGCAGTCACAACACCGCTAACACAGCTATACCCATGTGACAGGACACGGAGACGTTTGACCTGGAGGACTTCCGGTACAACCGGGTCAACATGACGGGCTACCGGCTGGTGGACACCTCCAGTGGCCTGGTGCAGGCCTCGCTGGCCGCCATGGAGCAGTTTCAGCCCGTCAGCTCCGTCATGGTGCCCGCGACCAACGTCATCAAGGTGGGTGTCACGATGGTATACTGATGTCGTCGTCAGGGTCACGACTGTGACATTGGCAGGGATGCAAGTTTCATTGCAAGTTTGTCAAGTTTCAAGCATGAGAGTTGCAACCTAAGGAAGTTGCTGGTCACGTTATTCGTGTTGTTGTTCGCTCCAGCGTTTTGTTCACTTTTTTTTTCGTGATTGTCATTGAAGTTATTTCAGTGCTTTCTTATGATCAGCTTTTGACACAACTGCCACATTGATGATAAATACTCGACGCGACTGATGATGACAAACCCGGTGGAGCTAAAACACTCGCATATACAGGCCTGCTCTAGAATGGGGTTGGGAACTCGATTTTTGAAGAATGTATAGAAATGATCTGACTATTTTTGCAGAATTTATGGTGCATACAGTTTCCTCATAAAAGCATTATGCTGAGAGAAATGGGGGAAGACAGATAGAAAACATATTTTTTAAAGTTCTTGAAAAAGACGCTCTTGATGCTGTTACGTCACATGTCACCTTCTGCGGTTGACAAATAATGGCGCATCTGGCGCACCACCGATTACATGTTATTTGTATATGTGAAAGAGGTTGTTTGTTTCACTCTGCCATTCGCGCTGTTTTTAGCTTTAAATTATGCTAAAGCATTCACGAATGAAAGGTTCAGTGTCAAAAATTGATGCGTCTGCCGTGTACTGTTCCCATTTAACATTGAGCGCGTGGTAAACATTTTGTGAACCTCGAATCGGATATATTATAAAAGAGAAGTTGTCTGTGTGTCACAAACGAAAAGTGTCATCCACATCTGGGTGTCTTGCGCCGGAACGGCGCCATGTAGGAGCGTGAAATTTGGCAGTCGACAAGCGCGGTCAAATCGAACGATCGTATTAAAATTTGGGCGCGATCCGACCAGGGGTGCGTCTCTGGCAGGGTCAAGAGCACGAGGCACGCTCGCCATTGGTTTAACACGGGGCGCGAAAAACGGCGACATCGGCCGAAATCGCTCCGACGCCTGCTCCTCTCCGGGCCTATATCTTGACGACCGGTGGTCACAGCGACACGCGGTTGCCACCGATCGATAGAGGAGAGCTAAAGCTAGCGTATTGATATGGTTTTATAACGTTGGTCGCGTCACGTGCACATCAGGACCTTTTGTTGTACAGAAATGGACGATTTCGTGCCTCGTAGACATAAAATCGGTGCCGTTTGAAAACGGTTTGGCCGAATGAAATCGGTATGGCACCATTTTTTAGGTAATTGCACGTGTGATGCAATGAATGAAAAGAAAAAGTGATTTTTACTACCACTTCCTTAATAATGAAAAATTTATTTGAAAGTGTGATGCGCGCAGAGTGCGCTGTCCTTTACAACATCATAACGCATCGAAAACGTTAAAAATTGACCATGAAACGCACATATTCGGATAGCGCATTCTTTTCTGATCAATATCCACCCAAAATATTATCAAAAAGTCAATAAACTACCGTGAAAATGACTCAGGCATACCACAGTGTTTTGTTAACGTTAGACATATTTTCCGATGAAATCCGATCGATGGCTTATAGCCGGCATGTCATTAAACATTTGACTATCAGTCAGCACGGCATAGGCTGCAAGGCACCGCCCGCTTAGGGATATCGCAAACCCTTGAAAATTGTACTTGCATATAACTCAGTCGTTTCTGGGCCGATTGCGCTGAAACTTGGACTTTCGGCAGGCAAGGCACTCACCAAGCGATGTACGGTCATGTGTCACAGGTGGGGTGGACTCATGCACGTGCGCACGTGTGGGGTCCCTTTCTACATCTCAAGAACGGCTGGGCCGATTTCACTCACATTTTGTACACTGTTAGGGACAATTTAGACAGGTGGCTTACATAAGTCATCTGGAGTCTCAGTAAGCGCGTGCGCACGTGCAGGGGCCCATTTATATATCTCAAGAACCGGTAGGACGACAGCACTCAAATGTTGTGAAACTCTTTGGTCAAGTATGAGTAGGGCATGAGTATGCCGGGTATAGGTAGGGTACGTTATGGGAAGGGTAGGGTATGGGTAGGGTAGGGTAGGGTAGGGTAGGGTAGGGTAGGGTATTGTATGGGTAGGGTATTGTAAAGGATAGAGGTAGTTTTGGGTATGGGTAGGATAGGGTAGAGGTAGGTTTGCCGTTTGGGTAGGGTAGGGTAAAGTTGGGTATGATAGGGTAAAGTTCGGTATGGTAGGGTATAAGGTAATCGTAGGGTAGGGTATGGGTAGGGTATGGGTAGGACTAGGGTATGGGTAGGGTATGTATATTGGTAGGGTAGGGTAGGGCCTTTTGCGGCTTTTCCTATTGGCGGCGGTTAGGCGTGCGATGTGGGCGGTTTCCTTTGTTGCGGCGTTTGCGGCGTTTTGCGGTTGGCGGCGGGCAGGCGTGCGATTCGGGCGGGCGGTTTTTTGCGGCGGCGTTTGCGTTTTTGCGGTGTTTGCGTTTATCGGCACGCGGTCGTTTTTTGCGGCGTTTTGCGGTTGGCGGCGGGCAGGCGTGCGATGCGGGCGGTTTTTTGCGGCGGTGTTTGTTTGGTGGCGGTCGGGCGGGCGATGCGGGCGGTTTTGATTTGTTTTCGGCGTTTTTGCGTTTTTTTGCGGTTTACGGCGGGCGGGCGATTTTTTATTTGTTTTTATTTATTGCGACGTTTGCGTTGGCGCTTCGGGCGTGCGTTTTGCGTTTGGGGCGGGCGGGCGCTTTTTTGGTTCCTTTTTTCGGTGTTTGCGTTTGGGGCGAGCGGGCGCTTTTTTGCGGTGTTTGCGTTTGGTGGCGGGCGGGCGATTTTTAGGCGTTTTCGGTTGGCGGTTAGCGTGCGTTCGATGCGAACGGTTTTATTTTTGCGGCGTTTTTGCGTTTTTTTTGCGTCGGGCGGGCGATTCTTTATTTTTTTGCGACGTTTGCGTCGGCATTTCGGGCGTGCCTTTGGCGCATTTTGCGGTGTTTGCGTTTTGCGGCGGGCGGGCGGCGTTTCACAATTCAAAGTCCCAACATTCGGATCTCAATTGCTCCTCGAAAAGCCATACACACCTACTATACAGTTTAATGAAGAAACTACCAAACTCTACTTATTAAACCTAGAAGTTTTGACAACCAAACTGATAATCCCCTTAATATATCTCGAACCTATACAGTTATCGCGTAAACCTGTATTCTAGTCTATATTATGATTTATAACATGTCTGTGCGTGCGTGTGTCATGCCTTATGTGTCTTATTGCGCCTGAAAGGCGCCGCGTATCGGCGTGAAATTTGGCATGCCGAATCTGTGGGCGTGGGCGGCCTTCGTATTAAAATTTGGGCGTGATCGGACCAGGGGTGCGCCGTCGGCACGTGCAAAAGGGCGCTCTCATAGGGATAGCATGGTGTCGGCGAGAGCGGCGGTCGGCCGAAAATCGGGCCGACACGGCTCGCTTTCCGGCTTGATATCTCGGCAACGGGTGATTGCAGCGAGAAGCGGTTGCCACCAATGGATAGAGGAGAGATGGAACTAGCGTATTGATATGGTTTCATAGTATAGTACGCGTCACGTGCAAGGCAGCACCCCCAGTTGTGAAAAAATGACCGATTTCGTGCATTGTGACGGGAAAATCGATGCCGCTGGAAAACGGCTTGACGGAATGAAATCGGTGTTGTATCATTTTGCAGACAAAGGTACGTGTAATAATAGGAAAGCAAATAAAAAGTGACGATCCGTACTATTTCTTTAATAATGAAAAATTAATTTGAAAATTTGATTTTTACGGAGCGCGATGTCCTTTACAACACCAAAACGTATTGAAAACGATGATCAATCGTTATGAAACCTACATATTCGGAAAGAGCATTCTTTTCTGACCAATATCCACCCAAAATATTATCGAAAAGTCAATAAACTTTTGTGAAAATGACTCAAGCATGCGACCGTGTTTTGATAACGTTACGCGTATTTTCCGACGAAATCGGATCGGTGGCTTCGGCAGGCAGGCCCAGGCAGGCCATTGAACCTTTGACAACAAACGGTAGCGGAAGGCACCTCTCGCCAGGGGATTCGCCAGTAAATAAAATAAATTTATTCTTGCAATAACTCAGCCGCTACCGGGCCGATTGTGCTGAATTTTGGGACTGTCAACGGGCACATATCGAACGACACATTACCATATGTAGGGTGCTAAATGCTAATGCACGTGCACACCTGGAAAGGAGCAGTTTCCTATCTCAAGAACGGCTGGGCCAATTTCTCTCAAACTTGGTACACACTACAGAACCCGTAAAATCAATTAAATACCATACAGTTATCGCGCAAACATGGCCATCTAGTCTATATTATGATTTATAAGTTGTCTGTACGATCTCCATCCGTGTGTCATGCCTTATGTGTCTTATTGCGCCTGAAAGGCGCCGCGTATCGGCGTGAAATTTGGCATGCCGAATCTGTGGGCGTGGGCGGCCTTTGTATTAAAATTTGGGCGTGATCGGACCAGGGGTGCGCCGTCGGCACGTGCAAAAGGGCGCTCTCATAGGGATAGCATGGTGTCGGCGAGAGCGGCGGTCGGCCGAAAATCGGGCCGACACGGCTCGCTTTCCGGCTTGATATCTCGGCAACGGGTGATTGCAGCGAGAAGCGGTTGCCACCACTGGATAGAGGAGAGATGGAACTAGCATATTGATATGGTTTCATAGCATAGCACGCGACACGTGCTAGGTAAAACCCCCGGTTGTGAAAAATGACCGATTTCGTGCATTGTGGGAAGAAAATTGATGCAGCTGGAAAACGGTTTGACGGAATGAAATCGGTGTGGTACCATTTTGCAGGTAAATGTACGTGTAATCAGAGAATAGCAAACAAAAAGTGATGATCCGTACCATTTCCTTAATAATGAAAAATTAATTTGAAAATTTATTTCGCGCGGAGCGCGGTGTCCTTTACAACATCAAAACGTATTGAAAACGCTGATCAATGGCCATGAAACCTACATATTCGGAAAGAGCATTCTTTTCTGACCAATATCC